AGCCACGAGCTCTGGTCTCAAGGCCGTTCTGTTTTTGCGGCTTGCGTGGGTCCTGGGCCATCCAGCGTCCTCGGAGTCTTCTCGGTGGGTGCACGGTGGCCTTTGAGGCCCGTACGAAGTCAGACCGAATCAGCTGCAGGCTCTCCAGCGCGTCAAGCAAGGAGGACCTCCCCAGCAGTCTGCCTCATCTTGGGATGATACTCCCTGAGGCTTCCTTGTCGGATGCTGCGCCGGGGTCCCAGATGCAGATCCCCCCTTTTTCTCCCGTGTACAGTTGGCGCAGGGGTCAGCCCTCAGAGACGAAGATGATCGTCAGCCGCTCCTAGCAGCCATTGGGGAGAGACAACTTGGGGGGACGATTCGGCGTACGTCTTCTTGCCACCAAGTTTTTTGTAGCCTGCTTGCAGGGCTTGGCTCGACTTCACGTAAGAGTGACCCTTCGCCGAAATGACCTTTGGTGCGGGCTCATCGGGCTCCCCCCGATCGCCGAGCGCGATGCGATATAAGCGGCCCGCGCCCTTGGGTTTGGCTCCCTCGCGCCCCTAAAAGCTGCGCACCACTCTTTCGTCTAGCCGATTGGTTTGGCGAAGCGTTGGGCGATCGGGCAGGCTCCGGACCCCCCCCGCCGCCGCGTGTGCCCCTCGCCGAGACATGCAGGCCGTCGCCCGCGAGGGGAAGTAGCTGGGGCCCCGCCGAGCTCGGACCCGGGACCGCCAAGCTCCTCCTCCTCCACTCCACCTCTCTCCTCCTCCTCCCTCCTTCTTTCCCTCCTCCTCCTCCTCACCCCTCCTCCATCTCCACCTCCTCTTCCTCCTCCTCCCTCCTCCTCCTCCTCCCCTCCTCCTCATCCTCCTCCTCTTCCTCCCCCTCATCCCCGTCCTCCTCCTTCTCCCCCTCCTCCTCCTCCTCCTCCTCCTCCTCCTCCTCCTCCATTTTGGGTTGAGTTCTTGTAGAAGTCCCCATGGAGCGACCCACACTGCTCCGATGGGTGCCTGCGCACCTTTCCTTGGACGACGCTTTACCCCAGTGACGTGAGGTTCCGTGCAGGGCTGGAAATTTCTGGGCGACCCCGACAGCCCGCTCCACCTCGCCACGCCTCTCGCCCCTCCTCGGCCCGTTGCTCATGGACATGCAGGGAGTGCGGACGGCATGCCCGTATTTAGGCATCCGAGAATCTTGATTGCACAGCAAGGCCACTCGAGCTCGTGACCCACCACCTGTCCAGTAGGCTGCCACCGCCCGCTGGTTCCTTGATCACGGTGGCGGGTTTGTTTCCGTTCAGTATGAGGCCGTGGGAATTGCTATGGATGCATCGTATGCGGCGGAGGCCCAAGTCATGGGCTTTGCTGGTTCCCCCACCCTCGAGCCTGCGCCCGAGCGTGACGAGGAATTTAGGGCCTTCAGCGGGGAGCTTTGCGGAGGCCACGGGAGTCCTGGGACGATGATTCAGATCACCTCCCAGTGACGTTGGCCCTGGCCCTCAGTTGCGCGTGCGGAAAAGCGAGCGTTGCCTTCATTCCAAGATGGGAGCGATGATGGCTCCGTAGTTTCTTTTGCCATCCGTCCCCGTTGTCGCCTCCCCCCCGCCTCCCTCCGCCCGCACACGCCATGTACTACGTGTTGTGGACGCTGGAGCTTTACACTGGTCGGCCTCGTCGCGGCGGGTGGTAGCTCTAGCTCGAGGGTTCGCTGGCAGACTCCAGGCCCCTTGAAAGCGGGGACCCCAGGTCGGCTCTGCCTTCCCGGGGGCGCGATGGTTGCGTTCGTCATATTCCTTTTACTTCCCTCCTCCTTCTACGTTCTCCGCCTCCTCCTCCTCCTCCTGCTCATTCCCAATCATCCTGTGGTGTTGGGTTCTCGTTTTGAAGAGACAGCGCCCCGCGTCACCTCATCACCCCTCCTCCTCCTTCTCCTCCCTCTTCCCATCCGCCTCAGGCCGCATGCGTCAACGCCACCCAGGCCAGCGTTTCGTGGCCCCATGAGGAGCCCCACCCAGGCCAGCGTTTCGTGGCCCCATGAGGAGCCCCACCGAAGGCTCACAGGCCGCGTGCGTCAACGCCACCAGGACAGCGTTTCGTGACCCCACAGGGAGCTCCACCGAAAACCCTAGTGGCAGGGTCCGCATGCGGGGACCGCCACCCATTTTGGCACACGTGGCCCCACAGGGAGCTCCACCGAAAGCCCCAGCGGCAAGGTCCGCATGCAGGGACCGCCACCCATCTTGGTACACCCCTCACACTGCTCGTGGCCCAACTGGGAGTTTCACCGAAGGCCCCAGTGGCAGGGTCCGCACGCGGGGACCGCCACCCATTTTGGCACACCCCTCACACGGTTCGTGGCTCCACAGGGAGTTCCACCGAAGGCCCCAGTGGCAGGGTTCGCATGCGTGAGCGCCATTGATTTCGGCTCACCCCTCACACGTTTCGTGGCCCCACAGAGAGCTCCACCGAATGCTCCAGCGGCAGGGTCCGCATGCTTGAACGCCATTCGTTTCGGCACACCTTTCACACGGTTCGTAGCCCCACATGGAGCTCCACCGAATGCTCCAGCGGCAGGGTCCGCATGCGTCAACGCCACCCATTTTGGCACACCCCTCATACTGTTCGTGGCCCCACAGGGAGCTCCACCGAAGGCCCCAGTGGCACAGCGCATGCGCCAGCAACCCATTTTGGCACACCCTCACACGGTTCGTGGCCCCATCTGGAGCTCCACCGAAAGCGGTACCCACAACGAGGTATTCGCAATTGCGCATCTTTGGGTCTTTCGCCAGGATATTGTTTGTCCTCCTCCCTCCTCCGTCCATTCCTCCCGCATCCATCCTTTTTCCTCCTCCTCCTCGTCCTCCTCCCTCGCCCTCCTCTGCCCTCTTTCCTTCTCCTCAGCCTCGTCCTATTCCTCCCGGTGTAAGCGCGGGTCGGCCAGTGTTGGAATGCCCATATCCTCTCAAAGGAGAAGAATTTGCATAAGCGTACTGGTCGGAGTTCCGCGCTGATTGTTTGGATCGCCACCAGGCCTCCCTGGCGGCGCCGCCCCTGGCGCGCTCCGCGCGCGCGCTCCGGCCAGCAACGCCGCTCCGACAAAGTCGTGCGGATCTTCGACAGTTTCCGCATGCTTTGGGTTGGTCGTAACAGTATCGCCATGATCGGAAAGGGTCCCGAAGGAAGCGGATCCTGGATGTCTCTCGACGCTGTGGCCCCCCCCCCCCCCCCCCCCCCTGGGGCCCTCCACGGGCCCCAGGGCCCTCCACAGAGCGGCTCGGGGTGAAGAGCTGGTTCTGGGGCAAGATGCTCATGACGAGTTGCTGGCCCTGGGGGGGGGGCCCCAGGGTCATGTCGGGCGTGTCCCCCTGCAGGGGGATTGTCGACGAAGAGTTGCAAATACCCCAAAAATGCCCCGAGAAGGTCAAAACATACTAAAAAAATAGTCCCCGGACTATTTGTTGATTACTTGTTGGTTATTCCATGGTCCAGGGCCCGTTTCCCGCAGGTCGGCGGCGCGCAGAGGGGGGGGTATAGGGGGAGGGGGGAAGGCTCCTTCGATGGAGGCTGGTTATGATGAGGCGCGGGCCCTACGTCTAGAGAGAGGGCCCGCGCCTCCCTTCCTGGAGTCTAAGAGGCTTTCCCCCCTCCCTCCGCCCCCCTCTGCGCGTGGCCGATCAGGACCCGCTGGCCTCGTGCCGGCCCCGCGTTTCCCTTCCCTTCTCGGGGGGCGTCAACCGACCACCTCGCCGAGCCCGGCCGGGTGGAGCTCGGGCCAAGGGGATCGGCGGGGTGGTCGGTCTCAAGCAGTGGCGAAGCGTCCTGGCTCGCCATAGCCCTACCAAACAATGTTCTAAGAACCTTGTGTGGTTTCCACGAAAGGTTCTTAGAGCATTTCTGGCGGAGCGCGTCTTGTTTTAACACATGGGGCTCATGTTCTAAGAACATTGTTTTTGTTCTTAGAGCATTTTTTGGGTTCAAAGAAATGTTCGTGGTAGGACTATGGGAACGCCGGGACGGTCGGTCCCTGCTCCACGGTCGGCACGCCACGCTCGTCCGGAGGACCATGGGCAAGTGGTCCTGGTTCGGCGAGTCCTGCGTCGTGGACAGGCAGCACGTGCGCACCGCGAGCTTCATCGCGCAGGAGTTCTCGGAGCTGGCGGTGCTGAACCGGGAGGCGTTCGCCCGAGTCCTGAGCAAGTACCCCGCGATGGTGACGAGGCACGAGCTGCTCCTGGAGGAGATGGACTCCGGCACCATCAGCCTCGCGGACATTTCGTGGACGGGGCCACCCCGCCGTCACAACAATCCGCCCCGGTCGGGTCGCACCGGCGGGTTGCAAGGGTTGGTTGCACGAGTGATGATGATGTCTCTGGTGCTCCGGTGAGGTCCTGGTCCAGCTTCCGCGCGGGGGCCTCAGAGATCATGTAATATCCTCCTACACATCCTCGTCCTCTTGTTCCTTCTCCGCCAGCACCTCCTTGTCCCCCTCACTCCTCCTTCCTTATCCTTATTTCCCCCTCAGCGTTATCATCATCACCACCACCTTCATCATCATCATCATCATCATCATCATCATCATCATCATCATCATCATCATCATCATCATCATCATCGTCATCGTCATCGTCATCGTCATCGTCATCGTCATCGTCATCGTCGTCATCGTCATCGTCATCGTCATCGTCATCGTCATCATCACCACCATCAGGATCATCATCATCATCATCATCATCATCATCATCATCATCATCGTCTTCGTCGTCGGTATCACAATCATCAACATCATCATCCTACCCATCACCATCACGATCATGATCACGATCGCCATCGCCATCACCATCACCATCACCATCACCCATTATCCTCATCATCATCATTCTCACCCGCTTGCTGGCCTGAGATCGGCATCCGGGTCACGGATCAGCATCAGTTTCGACGAGGGTGCCCAGCCAGCTTCGAGCAAAAGAGTCCGAGCTTGCGCGTTCGGCCTCTCAAGAGGCTCTCCACTCTCGTTAGGTCTGGAGGGCCTACGTGGCCCCTGAGAAGTTCGCCACACCTTGCGCCTGGCGCTCCCGACCTCCGACGTGGTGCTTTCTCGCGCTGCGGTGAGGTTTCGATCCTGTCACCTCCTCCTCCTCCTCCTCCTCCTCCTCCTCGTCATCATCATCATCATCATCATCATCATCATCATCATCATCATCATCATCATCATCATCATCACACTCCTCCTCCTCCTCCTCGTCCTCCTCCTCCTCTTCCTCCTCCTCCTCCTCCTCCTCATCATCATCATCATCATCATCATCATACTCCTCCTCCTCCTCCCCGTCCCTCTCCTCCTCCTCCTCCCTCCTCCTCCTCCTCCTCCCCTCCTCCCCTCCTCCTCCTCCTCCTCCTCCTCCTCCTCCTCCTCCTCCTCCCCTCATCATCATCATCATCTCATCATCCGCTCCTCCCTCCCTCCTCCTCCTCCTATCCGCATCATCATCTCTTCCCGCCTCCTCCTCCTCCTCTCCTCCTCGTCATCATCATCATCATCATCATCATCATCATCATCATCATCATCATCATCGTCATCATCATCATCATCATCATCATCACCATCATCATCATCATCATCATCATCATCATCATCATCATCATCATCGTCATCATACTCCGCCTCCTCCACCCCTTTCTCCTCCCCTCCTCCCCTTGCTTTTGTCGCGGCGGCCCCGTGCTCTCGGGCTCCCGTCGGAGGGGCTCCTGTGGCGGCGCCCCCCCCCCCGCTCCGCTCCGCGGCGCGTAGCCCGGACTCGGGTCTGTGCCTCCACAGGGGGAGTGTTTCAAGAATAGTCCGAGCATAGTGTGTGGACGATGTTTCGAGCACGTGCTCGGCTGTTTTAGAACATGCTGGGACCATTGACACTTTTCGCCCAGAAATAGCCAATAGCCTGTCCCTCCACAGGGGCCTGTCCCTCCACGGGGGGAGTGTTCCAACATAGTCTCATGATGTTCCAACCTGCTTCAGCGTTGACCACCTCAATGAATTTCGAGCACCAGGACATAGGGGAACAAAAAAGTGGCATAAACATGAAAAATCGGAGGTCCGCGCTGATTTCTCGGATCCGCGCTGGACCCCCTTCCTGGCGCGCGGAGCGCGCCAGGGGCGGCGCCGGAGGCGCCGCCGGGGGGGCCCCAGCGCCGATCCGAGAAATCCGCGCGGACCTCCGAGTTTTTATGTTTATGCCACTTTTTGGTTCCCCTAAGAAAACACCAGAACTTGAGGGTTTTCACGTGTCGGGCCCTGGGAGACACTCGTTCGACACTGTGTCGACACTCTTTCGGCACGTTTCTGGGTGCTCGAAATTGTTTCTGGGATGTTGTCCTTAAGTACGATGGGAGCAACCTAAAAATTGTCCAAACATCGTATGGAGACGACCTTCCGAGTACGTGTTCGACTACTGTAGAACGTGTTGGGACTATTGGCCTTTTTCATCCAGAATCCGCCTGTAGGGGGACATGCCCGACCCAAGCGTGGCCTTCTCTTTCCCTCCGCCTTTTTTAACCCTCCTCCATCCACATTTCCGCCGCGATTGTGATCCGCGCACCCGTCACACGGATCGTCGCTGACGGGGAGCTCCACCAAGGGCCCCAGTGGGGATGCTCGCTTACGGGCCCGCGCCAGGTTCTGCACGTTCGTCGCGGGCGTCCTGCCCCGACGGGAGCCTCGCCTGCTGCTTCAGCTGCCATGCTGATGCCGTCCTGGACCGTCGGGCTCCCCGGGAGCCGACGATCCAGAACGTTTTTGCGTCGGCGGCGAGGCTGCGGGTCGTCTGCGCGAGCGGACAGGCCTAAACGGGGGTTCCCTTAGGGCGAGCTGTGCCAACATGCAGGAGGGGGAGCAGGCGGAGGACGCGGCCGAAGGAGGGGGAGCGCAGGGAGCAATCGACGATCCAAAGCATGCATGACCATATCTTCTCGGAGCTCCGCGAGAATTTCATGGATCGGCGCTGGGCCCCCCCTGGCGGCGCCTCCAGCGCCGCCGCGCGGGCCCTCCGAGACGGTGGCGCGCCGTCGCCCCCCCCGCGGGGGAGGAGGAGGTCCTGAGAGGGCCCCCCCCCCGGGTGGGGCGGGCTCGAGAGGGGTCGGGAGCCTTGAGACGGGGGTCAGTGCAAACGGGGGTCAGCCAGGGCGCCAGATCCTGCAGGATCCTGCGAAGACCCCCTCTGGCTGACCTGGGTCAGCGAGCCGCTCGTGGCCGCGAGGCGGCCGCGCCTAGTGGCGGACCCGGGTTTGCGAAGACCTGCGTTGCAGTGTTATTGTTCTGCATTGCAGTTTTTGGTTTCCTGCTGACCCGGGTCTGGATTGACCCAGGTCAGAAGATCGCCGAAGGGGGGGGGGACCGGGAGGTAAGGCTATTCAGAAGTCGGGCATGTCCCTCTACAGGAGGGTTTTTCAAATATAGGCAACACATAGTCTGGGGACTATTGTTTGACCATTTTTGAGCATTGGTTGTGTACTTTTGGGGGGTATTTCTAATTTTTCGTCCAAAATCCCCGTGTAGGGGGACAGGCCCGACTTAAGGCTACTCGGGCGCGGCGGTCGCTTCGATCAACGTCGGTGTAACCTTGAAGAGAGAGAGAGAGAGAGAGAGAGTCTAGGCCTCCTGGATGGGGTCGGAGCGGATGGGATCAGGGGATCGCGCCGCATCGCCGATGCATCGGCGATGCATCGTCGATGCAGCTCTAGGTGGAGCCAAATTTTCTCCACGCCGACGTCGCCGATGCATCGCCGACGTCGCCGATGCATCGCCGATTAGATGCAATCCTCCTGCCCCATCTACTCGGACCCCATCCAGGAGGCGTCGAGAGAGAGGGGGGGGATGTTTAGGGCATCGCGGCGAGGAGGGAGGAGGCGGAAGCGAGGGAAGAGGCGCAGGAAGGGAGGCGAGGGGAAGCATACTCTGAGGTGAATATGCAGTGTGAGCACGACGAGGAGCGAGGAACATGTGCATGACATTCAGGTTGACGGGTTCAGCGTGTCTGGAGTTGTCTGTATCCCACAGGGTCCTCCGGGGATCCTGAGGAGAGGGGCAGGTAGAGGTCTGAGACGATGGCGAACACGAGGAACGCGAACCCAACAATGACGCTGGCGAGAAGTATGGCAGTCGAGGAGGAGATCCAGGTGGAGGAGGAGGAGGTCGGGGAGAAGGCAACTTCGGCTGCGCGTCGCCTGTATGGCGCAAATTTATGTGTACTCAACCTGTCTCTCTCTCTCTCTCTCTCTATATATATATATATATCGCTCTCTCTCTCTCTCTCGTTATGTCTCGGTCTCTGCCTCTCTCTATCTCACTCTCTCTTTCCCTCTCGCTCTCCATCCCTCTCTTTCTTTTGTCTCTCTCTCTCTCTCTCGCTCGCTCTCTGATTTTCGAAAGAGTGCTTGCACTTATGGGGGTCTCATTTCTGTTCTAAGGAATTGGGCTGATGTGCCGCTCTGGCGGCTATGTTGTCGCCGTCACCGCCCTGTCGCCGCCTCGTCGCCGCTCGTCGTCTGGGACTGTGTGCCGCTCTGTCGGCTATGCTGCCGCCGTCGCCGCCCCGTCGCCGCCACACAGATTGCACAACATAGATTGCACACGCCTATATTCTCCTTTCTGAAAGACTAATAGATTCTACCCCCCTCCCACCCCCGGACTTATCGGTTCCCCCCCGCGTGCTGTAAATTACATATGATTATGACCACATGTCCATCCTAAATATGAGTTCATACCATCCCAGCCAAGCCGGGTTCCCCCCCCCTGCGGTTCCCTTGTAAAAAACACTATGCGGTGACATGTGTTGTTCTAACATAGCACTTTTTCACGAATCCCTTGCAAAAAATGGGACGAAGTGCACACGCGCGCGTCGTGGCGCGCGCATGCCGAAATCCTTCAAAAACCTTCGATTCCGGAGAGATTTCAAAATTGAATTTCCAAAAAACATATAAAAACACATGGTTCCGCAACACTGATTCAAAAAAACTTACGCGCGAGCTCTTGCGAAATCTGAAGAGAACCATAGGTTTTCCAAGATTTTCACAAAGTGCTACCAAACGGGCTTCGCGCGCGCGCATGTCGAAATCTGTCGAACGCTCTTGCGCGTGTGCCGTCGCGAGAATCCTCTGCAAAAAATGTGACGAAGTGCAGACGCGCGCGTCGCCGCGGGCGTATGCCGAAATCCTTCAAAAACCTTAGGTTTCGGACAAATTTCGAAATCGTGCGTCCAAAAAACCTACAAAAACACAAGGTTTCGCAACACGGGTTTTCAACAAAATTGTGCGCGCGCGCTCTTGCGTCGTCGTCGTCGTCGTCGTCCTCCCTCCTCCCTCGTCGTCGTCGTCGTCGTCGCCGTCGTCGTCTTCTGTCTTTCCTCGTCGTCTTTGGCGTCGTCGTCGTTTCCGTCGTCGTTGTCGCCGTGGTCGTCCTCCCTCGTTGTCTTCGTCGGCGTCTCGTCGTTGTCCCTCCTATTCGTCGCCGTCGTCGTCGTCGTCGTCGTCGTCGTCGTCGTCGTGGTCTTCACTCCTCCCTCGTCGTTATCCTCCTCCCTCGTCGTCGTCGTCCGTCGTCGGCGTCTCGTCGTCGTCCCTCCTATTTCGTCGCCGTCGTCGTCGTCTTCGTCGTCGTTGTCATCGTCGTCGTCTTCCCTCCTCCCTCGTCGTTGTCGTCGTCGGCGTCGCCGTCCTTCCTCCTTCTTCGTCGTTGGCGTCGTCGCCGTCTTCCCTCCTCCATCGTCGTTGTCGTCGTTGTCGCCGTCGTCGTTTTTTCTCCTCCCTCGTCGTCGTCTCCGTTGGCGACGTCGTCGTCGTCTTCGTCGTCGTCGTCGGCGTCGTTGTCGTCGTCGTCGGTGTCGTCGTCGTCGTTGTCGTCGTCGAAAACATTGGAGACGTCGTCGGTGTCGTCGCAGTCGCTGTCGGCGGCGCCGTCGTCGTCGATGTCGCTGTCGTCGTCGGCATCGGTGTCGTGGCCAAGTGCCACGCAGTACCTACCGTCACGGTCTTGTCTGAAGATGTCTTGCGACCAAGTTGCGGGTGGGAGGGTGGGATGTTTGCACGAGCAGTGGAGAGGACAGTTTCAAGACAGTCGAAGTGGATTGCACCACATAGATTGCACAACATAGATCGCAAAATCTATGTATACATGTATGGATATGCCACCACATAGATTGCACCACATAGGCTGCACAACGTAGACAGCTCCACCTAGATGGCACCACGTACAGATGCCCGTGGCACACTTCTCACTAGGGGGGCCCCAGCTGCCCCCCCCTCTCTTGGACAAGGGGGGGGCTTCCTATTCCTCATAAGTTGAACGACGCGCATCTTATACAATGCATATATCATATCAATGAATACAACCCCCCCCCCCCGGCCCGGGGTGCCACACCTCCCCTGTGACATCTCGGGAACGCTCCCGGTACCGCTCCCCCGGGCGTCGGGGAGCCTCCACAGCGCTCCAGGAGGGCCCAAGACGACTCCCGGGAGCCCCCCGAATGCGAAAGGATGGTCCAAGACGCTGCCAAGCAGCCCAAGTCAGCCTTCCGATGGCTGTCGAGGCTCCCAGGTAACCTCCAAGAGATCCCAAGAGAGGTCCGAGAGGCGTTCCGGGACGGCCCGAAGAGGCCCACATCGTAGATGGTCATTGTTTTTTTCCATGTGTTTGGCTTCTCGCGTTTTCGAGCTCCTCACGAACCCTCGACCTCCCTTGCTCGCCGCGCAGCCTCGTGATTTATGCCCTCCAGCCCTTACCCCGCGCCTGTCGCGCCACCAGCGGCGCCTGTGTCCGTTTCGGGGGCGGCAAAGAGGGGGGTGATGACTAGGGGGGGGGGGATATCCTGGCGGGGGCCACGATCTCTCCCCAGATCTCGTGGCGCCTCTTCTCATTTCGTTACGTCCCTCGCCCCCCCCGCTGGGCCGCGCACGTGCCGCTGGTCATGAGTTGCACCCCCCCCTCTTGGACACCCCCCTCTTGGCTTATGTCGGGCGTGTCCCCCTACAGGAGGATTTTCGACGACAAATTAAAAATACCCTAAACATGGCCAACAAAAAGGTCAGAAAATATTCAAAACATAGTCCCCAGTCTATTTTTGAATATATTTTTTAATTTTTTGGGGGGTATTTTTGATTATTCGTCGACAGTCCCCCTGTAGGGGGACACGACACGCCCGACTTAACGCCGGTCATGAGTTGCCCCCCCCCTCTTGGACGCCCCCCTCTTGGCCGCTCCCGACCGCTTGCCAGCAGGCTGCCTCCTCCTGCTCCTCCTCGAGCCGACGGTCGGAGACCGCGCTGGCGCGCAAGCCGCGGGCTCGGGAGGAGCAGTGCTCTGTGATGTGGAGCACCGCGAGGGTCCATCCCAGGCGCTCCGCAGCCACGCTCCCCCCATGCGCAAGGATCCGAGACACACAGAGACACAATTCATCGTCGATCCCCGAGAAAAAATAGGGGAAGATATGGGAAGTGGGGGGAAGACGAAAACCCAGAAAATATAGGAATCTATGGGGAATCCGGATTTACTTGTGTGTCCCAGGGCCCCTTCATAGAAATATGCGTTTCGGTTGTGTGTGTATATATATATACGCACACGCACACACTTCGACACGAGACGACGTTGCCACGTTGCAGCGATCTTTGGGCCACACTGCTTCACTGGAGCCGTGAGCTTGGAACCCTGCGTGGAGCGCCTCGGGAGCGCGGTGGGCCATCTGGAGGCGGTCACGGGCGTGTCGGGGTGATTCTCTGGCGACTCGGGGGCGGGTCGGAGCTCTCTGGGCTGGGAGGGCCTGGAGGCTCCCTCGATGCCTCCGGAACTGCCCCAGACGCTCCCCGAGAAGACGTCGGGAGGCCCAAATTGGGCAAATTTCCTAGGGAACGCGCATTTTCAGCAACCACGCGCCTGAGGTCCCCACTGCGTCTACGACAGCGGCCGAAGCGCCCCAGGGACGCCAAGGACGGCCCACGAACCCCCCAAGACGGCCCAAGATGAGCCACAGAGGGCTCCCCAGACGGCCTGGGCGGCCTTCCGGAAGAGGCCCGGAGCGTGCCTAGCGGGGTCTTGAGGCTGTCCAGAACGCTCAAGGGACGTTCAACACCCCCACAGAGCGCTCCATGGTTGTGCAATCTATGCTGTACAATGTCTGATGGAATTTATATACCTCGTGGGAGTAAAGACGACCCAAGATGACCCCAAGAACACTCCAACAACGGCCCCAAGACACAACACTCATCGCTTGTTCATCGGTTTTTGACGAAGTTTCAGCATTCTGTCTTTCAGGTTTCTCTAGGTTTTACCACGGCCCCAGAGGCCCGCAAGATCGCCTTGAGACCGCGCCCGCCCGACGATGCGATCCAGGAATAGTTCGTGGACTCGCAGAACCGCGGCGGCACCCCGCCGCGAGTGCCGCGCCGTGTCTCAGAGCACATCTTCTTTGGGGGTGCCCAGATGCCAGACTGGGACGGCACACGAGGGGCGCCAGAGATGTCCGAGACGGCCCCACAACGGCCCAAGAGGGCCCCCAGAGGACCCCAAGACGATTCACGCACGTCCCGAACCGTTCGCAGCCTCGAAGGCTTCCCCGCTGCCCGATGTGCCTCCAAGGCTAGCCAAGATGCCTCCATGAAGCACTCTCACGGGAGCCGCAGGACACGGAACTCGTGAGTTTGTTTTGGTCTTTGTCTTGATTTCCACCATTGTGTTTTGGGTTTCTCCACGCTCTCAGGCGGCCCAAGAGTCTGAGGCGGGAATTTATCCATATCCACCGCCTGGAGGGTCAGTTTTCGGAGCCTCGGCAGGCGGTGGATATGGACATACTCGGGTCCCCGGGGGCCGAAATATATCCACATCCACCGCCCGCTGGGGCACCAGGACGTCGGTTCCCAGGCGGTGGATCTGGATAAATCCCCGCCTCGCACCAAGGGGCCCCCAGGGTCGCCCCCACTACCGCCCCAGAGCTCCCCCCCACGAGGGTGCCGATAGCAGCACTCCCTGGGCCCGAGAGCGGCCGAGGGAGGGGCCAGGCCTGCGGCCACTGCAGGACCATCCTCGGGCCCCGCCGCCGCGGCGCGGGAGCGCTCCCCGAGGGCTCCCCAGGAGCGGTGAGCGCGAGGTCGCGCGAGAGGGCGCGCGCGTGATTTGCCCTTTGCTGCTATCGGGGGCCCTCTGGAGCCCTCTTCGGGTCCTTCTGGCGCTGTTTTCTGAGATCCTCTTAATTAGGGCCCTTTAGCGCCGCCTCGCATGCCGAGGGCTCCCAGAGGGCCCCAAAAGTGCAGCAGTGCAAGTGAAGTCATGCGAGAGAGCGCTCGCGTGACGATGACGATGATTGTTATGATTATGATGGTGACGATGGTGATGATGATGCTGCTGCTGATGATGAGGACGATGATGATGATGATGATGATGATGATGATGATGATGATGATGATGATGATGATGATGATGATGATTATTATGAAGCTGATGATGCTGATGATGATGTCGATGATGATTATGATGCTGGTGGTGCTGATGATGATGATGCTGGTGATGGTGATGTTGAGGATGTCGATGATGGTGATGGTGAAAGCGGTGGTGATGTTGATGATGATGCCAATACTGATGATATTGATGATGGTGATGATGACGACGATGATGATTACGATTAGTATGACTATGCTTATTTTGATGATGCTATTGACGACGCTTCTGACAGTGATGAGTATGGTGTTGGTCACGATGATACTGTTGATGCTGCTGTTGATGTTGATTGCGACGTGGATGTTCGATATGATGATAATGATGCTGATGGCAATGCTGGTGATGATGCTGACGATGATGAGGCTGATGATGATTATGGCAATTATGGTGATGAGGAGGAGGAAGATGAAGATGATGATGATGAGGGTGAGGATGGTGATGATGATGGTGAGGATGAGGTTGAGGATGAGGATTCGGATGTTCGGATTGGCGTGTGTGACGATGGTTGCGATCATGAGCTTGACAGTAAGCATGCGCTTGGCTCTTTCTGCTCTTCGGTCGAGCGACCGCAGTCGCAGTGCATACGCTAGAACTTGAGCGCGCGCGAAATGCGCGCGATGCTCCCAGTACGTATATAGTGCACGCCACATCTCGCACACCATGTACTGGACCTGATACAATTGGACATCCTAGATTTTTATGAACACTTTTTTTAGAGTCCACGTTGGCTAACACCATACATTGGCATGTGCGTTAGCCAGCGTGGACCCCGAGTAGCGATATCTTACAATGTAGGTGTTTCAAAATATGTGGTGCGATCCGCGTGGTGCTATCTAGGTTATTGCAATCGAGGTACTGCAAAGCAACGCAATGTCGCGCAACGAAAAGCAGTTCAAAGCAGCGCAACGCAGCCCAACGCAATGCAACTCCCTGCGTTACAATACAATGGACTGCAATGCGATTGCAATGCGATTGCACTGCAATGCGCACTGTCGCCGCAACGCCATGCTATGGCCATGCAACGGGAGGGGGTGCGACTGGTCGGCGGCGACGGGCGGGGTCGGGACCGCCGGGACCGTCCACGGATACTTATCTTGGAGAGGTGATGCGGCAAGGGACGGGAAAAGGGGCCGCCAGGGCTGCGCAAGGGCCCAGTTGCGTAGACAAGACGCCTGGGCCCCCAAGTGCGAGCACCGTCCGGGGACTCCTCTGCCCAGAGCTGGCGAGCTATTGCCGACGGCCAGGCGTTTTCTCAGTCGCGATCAATTCGGACTTCCTGCTGCCACAGGCGGCACGCTTTATCGAGGTCAGACGTGACTGCCGGCGGCCGATTGGCAGTCATCTCCTGGATCAGCCGGGGCGTCGCCCTGGAAAGTGTCGGGAATCGCACCGCGCAGCCAACAGGCAGTCCAGCACACCTCGGCGTGCCGCTGGCACGATACAGTCAAGCCGCGCAATCAGGATAGGCAGCCTTCCCGAGGGTAGCCTTGCATCCTTGCCCCCTCGGTCCATCCTTCGCCACGTTCGTTGGCCGCGCCCCGCTCGAAGAGCTTCGAATTGGGCGTCCAAGGCCCTTGCATCCTTATCGCGCATCCTTACTGCACGGGTTGACTGTAGTTCAGGCCCACTCCCATCAGCAGACCATCCTGAGTGCCACTGACGACAGGGATCAGAGGGAGATGGAAGAGAGGGGTCGCAGTCGCTAACTTTCGCTACTGCACGACCCAGTGGGCTGTGGACGAGACAGCCTTTGCTTTATGCAGCTTGTTCCAGGCAGGGGTACCAGCGGTTGTAATTCGTTGGCCGGGCGATGTAGGCCCGTTTCAACGTCACGCTGAAGGTGCCCGCGCTGATGCTGCTCGCGCCGAAGCGCCGGTCATTTTTGGGGTTCCCGCCGCGCTGAAGCTACCCGCGCTCTATTCTTTCACGGCGCTGACCTCTCCGCCAGTGCTCTAACAGATGGTAAGTAAGTCGCATGCGTCCAGACGATGGTCTGGTGGTGCCTTATGGCCTTTGATGCTGGAACAAATCTACTGCAGCGTATCTCGAGACGTACGTGTCTGTCCGAGGAGTACCATAGTCGGTTGGAAATGATCGGCAATACGCCTCGCAGGCCATCTCAGATCAGGTTGACGACACGGGGGAAAAAGCACTGGCTCCGCCTTCACGGTGCCTCGGACGGTGATGGCAAGACAGCGACACAGCGACGGCCGTAGCGAATCCGCATGTCCTGAGCTGCGCGGGCTATCGGGCCTTTATCGGCGATCAATTGGAAACCCCCCATGGGCCTATCCTCCCTCCTGACGACCAAACGTTGCCCCAGAAGTGGGCGAATGCAGCGTGCACCAGATCGCACGGGGGGGGAAGCCGAGCCTGGAGGCGGTACTGCTCGGTGGCGGCAACGACAGACGAACGGCGATGGCGACTGCGGCGGCAACCCTGACATCGGATCCGCTGTACGTTGGTTGATTCTCCGACTTGGAAATGTTAACCATCGTGGGCTCCAAACGTTGATGTCTGGCATTTGGCAATCATATGCGGTGCAATCTAGGTGGTACAACCCGTGGTGGTGCAATATGTGTAGTGCAAAACTATGTTGACTGTCTTGATGCTGTCCTCTCCACTGCTCGTGCAAGCATCCCACCCTCCCACCCGCAACTTGGTCGCAAGACCTCTTAAGACCGTGACGGTAGGTACCAAATGACACTTGGCAACGACGCCGACAAAGACAGCGACGACGACGACGCCAACGACCACTACGACGACACCGACGACGACTCCGACGACTTCGACGACGACAACGATGACGACGACGACGACGACACCGACGACGACGACGCCGACGACGAGGACGGACGATGATGACGACGCCGACGACGACGACGACGCCGACGACGACGACGACGAAGACGGCGCCGACGACGACGACGACGCCGAAGACGACGACGAAGAAGACGACGAACACGACGACGACGACGACGACGACGACGGTGTCGAAATAGGAGGGACGACGGCGAGACGCCGTCGACAAACGACGACGACTACGAGGGAGGAGGAAGAACGACTACGTCGACAACGTCAACGGAAACGACGACGACGCTAAAGAGGACAACGACGACGACGACGAGGAAAGACAGACTGATTACGCCGACGACGATGGCGTCTTCGCGTCGGTGATGAAGATTTCGAAGGGACTCGGAATGCGCGCGCGCAGACGCGCGACAGTAGCTCGCAATGTATTATTTGACACGTATCGTGCCACCCCAGCACGCGCGCAAGGCG